CCTCTATTGTATAGTCTATTACCATTTGCCATAACAAAATCGGTATTCACTGACCATAGTGGCGGTCTTACTTGAAAAGCTTAAAAGCTCATGAGGGTTCTTGCTGCTCCTGTGTCTAGCAGGGACTCAGCCTCTTTGCCCCTGCAACCCTATTTGCACAAACCAAACGCCATTCAGCCTTGACAGAGCTGGGCTGACTACTTAACTCTTTAGTGCAAAGTGTTTGCTGTGCTACTCCACTCCAAAACCAGTTGCCAAGTGTGACTTAAGCTCTGTCAGTTTTTGCAGCATTTGCCACTTGTGGCTGTTTATCCCAGACTTGCTGATCTGACGACTGGTATTGATACTTTTGCCTATTTTGCAGCTCGGCAAAATATTGATGTGGGTTGGTGAACGTCTGATCAGCTGTCAGCTCTGCCTTCTTTACTGTGCTTAAAATAGAGACAGATTCTTTGCCAGTGTCATACTATTCCACAAGCAAAGCAGACACTTCACTCTTCTCGTCCTTGATGATGTTCAGGTGGAAGCATCAGCCAATGGCTACAGTATGTATTCCATGGGCGGACCTTGCATTGGATATGCCATTTTGAAGGCACATGCCACATGGGCAGACCTTACTGTTGCATATATCTTGTATACATTCTTTGCTATAGCATGTACCCTGTGGTTGGACCTGCATAGCCCTGTCCACTCACTGGAGATCAGTGTACTTGCGTCAAATTTCTATACAGTAGAGACAGCTGGGTTTTAACTTTCCAACTGGATTTAGCCCAGTGTGGTAGTGGTACCTTTGTCACACCATACACTAGTACAATTGCCACTACAGCTGCTACTGCAGACATCTTCCTCTCTGACGGCCAAGGTTAAAAGTGACCACTTCAGAGTGTGTTATGAAAGACACATATTCTATGAGAGTGATTATGTCCCTCACTCTAAGGTGCTATAACATAAGCTTATTGGGAAGACCCTCAATGAACTTAATAACCAAGATGTCTTAATAATCTGCAGAGGCCATTGCTGGGTAGGCCTTCCTATGCAGTTGGCACAGGTAATCAGTAGAGATCATACATGTGCCAAGTCTCTTCCAAATTTTGAACTTGGCCCTACAGATTTCCCAATTATCTAGTTGTTTGAATCGGTGTTGCTGATCATACTTGATGGTTTTCTAGCCATCTTGCTACTTCTCATTCAGGTGTTTAACTGTGTTAAGGGCGAGACCACCTAAGCTAAGATCCGGGCATTGCATAGTCTGTTCCTAAATCCATCCATTCCAGATAATGACCTGCCTGAAATGTTTTTGTAACTATTATAAGTCCTCTCTTGCTGTCTTCTTGAACATCAAAAGCGAGACTTCCTTGGTCTTTACTCATAGAGACCAATAAGGTGGACCAAAGCCTTTCTCTCTCTCTCTTAATCCAAGTGGATTGCAGTAGAAGATCCTGCTAATATTTTTGGTTCTAGGAAGAAGCCATTCACAGGGGCACTGACAACCGAATGGCAATGAGCCACCTGAGGTGGCTCCCAGCTCTACATGATCACAGGTGTTAGCAGCTGCTATTGATGTTGTGGGGAACCTTGTTGTCCTGAAAGGCACCTTGCTCCATGGGTCACGGTATTCACTTATGGGTGCCCATTGCCTCAGCCACCAGAGATAGACTGCTCTGACTGGTAGACGTCATCCATTTGGGGCACATTCAGCCTCTCTCCACTAGTTGCTAGTGGTCTTGATTATAGCGGGGGCTGCTGTGCTCTGTTTGGCGATAGAGACTTTCCAACCTGGTCTAGGAATCATCAAGTGCTAATCAATTCTGGCAAACCTCAGTTATTTATGCGTCCTTTCTGCTGAAATTGGTCCTCAGAGTTACCATCTGCTCGAGTGGTCTAGGTTTACCAGATGCAAGCATATCTCCCTGAGTTAATAGCTGCAAGCTGACTCGTGTCATGGAACTTTGCAACATCAGGAAAAAAGCCCTATTCTAGGAGAGAACTTCTTTTAGACTCAACATCACTCCCATAAAACTATCTAGCTTTGCTAGTAAGCTCCACCTCAGTCGTGAGTACTTCTACATCCAGAAAATGTCATTCTTTTCGCTAGAAATATTCATTCAAATTCAGTAAACTCAAGAGATCACGCAAAAGCTAATATACATGTTATCATTTCCAGAAACTCTACAACAAATCTAGATCCTGACATCAAAATTTCTACTTCCTATGTACGTGTGATATTTACAAATAAGAACCTGTAATTTTCCGACAAGTATCAGGTAGACGGATCCATTAATAATTAAAATTTGTTTAGAAAATAAGGAGAGTGGTTCTGAACTGGATAACTTAACTGAGTCTTCCAAGTGTGTGTAAAATAATGAGACTAGGAAAAGATGGTAAAAATGAAAACAATCTATATTTATTTATTGTTCAATAAAAAAGAAAACAGCATAAGTATTTGCACACACATTTATGTTAGGCTATGCTTAGTCCTACAGCTTTCTTTCTTTCGGGATTGATCTCTTTTGAACTAAACACAATGGTCTTAATGTAAGTCTTCACTTAACGATCTCCTAGTAGAATGGCTCACTTGCTTTTTCCAGTCGACAGTATAGCCTAATGAACTTTTATATCTCACAGCATTAGTCGGCTGTATTATTTGGAGAACGTTAACTCAGCCAGTAAATGATATTACAGTGCTAAACCTTTCAATCCGCCTGTTTAATGTTTCTGCACTATTGTCTTGAGCAGAATAAACATTATCTATTATAAAAACAAAACAACTACAACAAGGCAATCTCGATGATTTTCTGGACAACGTGTTGCCGCCATTGCAGCATGGAAACTAAATAAAAATGTTTAAAAGGCCTACATATAACGTGTACAATCAAATATATTGTTATAAGCTATATTTATAATGCAATTTAGTTGTGAGCTAGAGAGCACATCACGTTAAGATTCTAGAACAATCGGAAATATTAATGAAGGAGAGGCTTTGCGAAATATCTAGAACAAAGATTAGGTTATAAATACTGGTGAGCTAGTCAATTTGCTAAGTAAGCTTGCAGTGAAACATTGAAGCGTGAAGAAGATAGAGAGATATTTTAGCCAGTAGAGAGAATCAGTAAATGTGTTTATGTTTTTGGATCTGTGTTAGCTATCGCACATATTAAATTACTTTGTAAAGTTAACGTATATCTTAGTGTAGTGCAGATAGCGTGACTTTAACCGTAGGCTTACAAGAAGTTATAAAGTGCACAAGACTGAAAAGAAACGTTAAGGAGGAAATAAAACTAATTTGTTACCGTTACGTTTTATGGACTTTGAATTATTTTTATCAGATAATTTAAAAGAACCCGCCAACAAAGGAACAACGTTATAGCTACATTAATGATATTTTTCTGGGAAGCCCTGACAGGTTGAAGCCTGATAATAATGAATGTTTCTAATTGTAGAACATGTCATCAAAAAGTGCCTTGACTCGTATTTAAAATGTTTATTTAGTTTTTAGTTTTCTCCAAAACTGAAATACACTAATAATGATATTATAATTTATTTTTGAATTCCTGGTGTCTTGCTACTAGAACTGAAGACCATTACTTGTTAGCACAATTTCCGTGAGGGGTCGAACGTTGTATTTTAATAAGTTCAGAATTTATTATTAATAAAAATAGCTGGTAAGTGATCAAATAATTTAAAGAAACTTAAAATATCTTAAATGGAAACGTGTAGTTGAAGTAATTTACTTAAAATACGGACTGACGTACATGTATAACCTCCAAAATAAGTTAAGGCTAAAATTTACTTTACAAACATCATAATAATTAGAACAATTTCTTTTTTTGTTTCATTGGGGCGCGAGTTGGCCCTGTGGTAGACTCTTGGCTTCAGAGCTGGGGAGCCGTGTTCGATTCCTGTAATAACACAAAATATTCCCTGCAGTTTAAGCTATGGGCACGTTATAAGAATGACAGGTAATCCCTTAGCATTGATGATGGGTATTAGAATACTGATGATGGCTGCCTTCCCTCTGGTCAGTAGTTCAAAATTAGGAACAGCGGCGTATAGCCTTAGAAGCTTTGTCATAAACACAAATACAAAATAATATTCAATACTTCATTAGTAGTTAAAGTTTGAAGGAAAAGATGGTTAATTTTGGGTTAGGGAAATCATCTGGTGACTAGCAGAGAAAACTACAAAGAAGCGAGCCAGGTATAAATTCATAAATACCAAAGAAGACTTCATGAACATCAGTTTTCGATACACAGACAAAAGATTTTTTAATGAGGGATTTCCTCATTTATTAAACTGGCTCTCATTTTTTATTCATATTTAAACAACATTTATTATTATTCTATCAAAATTTCGTTGAGTTTTCTAAGTATTTTCTCTTTAATTCAAGTTCCCCGAAAAGGACAGCGGTAAGTCTATGGACTTACTACGCTAAAATCTGGGGTTCGTTTCCCCGCGATGGACACAGCAGATAGCCCACTGTGATTTTGCTCTAAAACAAACAAACAAACTTAAATTCAAATTGTGATTTTGTGGTTTCTTTAAAAGATTTGCGCGTCATTTCGATTGACGTTTACAAAGCCTGTTTCACATTACACGTTTACTGAACTTTATACGGTAGATATTCATTATATTTCTAAGAAGATAATTTAATCACGGTATATGGAAATCCAATTATTTAGTTCCTTTGAATAGATGTACTGACGTAATTTCACAGCAGAGTATAAAAGAAATATTAAAGTACAACTATTATTTTCTAATAATTTGACATCTGAATCATACTTCATAGTACTCTTAGTGATTTGATAAAACTGCCTCATCGTCGGTGCGTTATTGTGGATTTTTTTTGTAAAAGTAGGAGTTCTACTTTTATCGAGATAAACGTTTTGACATGTGCAACATATGATGAATAAGATGATTCATAAATGACTTTTAACATTATAATGAATGCATCGCAAAATCTATCTAAGATTCGTATTTTTTGGTTCTTTATATTTTTTCAGCTGTTCCTGCATATCGAAAAGATGAGAGGGATTTTTCTTTTGCTGTTTTTGCAGCTAGCGAAAGGACTCTCTTTGGATGAGATTCATGCTTACCAAAATCCTCCTGACATTTCTGTACCAAGAAGGAGCCACCCCGATTCTGAGAAATTTATTCCATGGCAGGAGTTTGATGAATCTGTTGTTCCTTACCCTTTCAACTCGGTATACAATATACCTACCAGCAAAAGGAAACAAGGAGAAAACACAGCACTTTTTAGTTCCAAGCATGGCCAGCTGACAATCCCTGATGAGGGCTCGGATCACTCAGCTGGGATTTTTGCAGCTGGAATATCAAATCGACTACTCAGTACCCTCCAAGAAATTGACCGCCAGATGGCACAAAAAGAAGCCAGAAGAGATTATGAAAAACAGATGGAATTGTATAACCAGTTAGAGAAACGTCAACGTTATGGTTTTCGAGATGAAAACACTGTTCCCTTCATGGAAAGGAGTGACTATGATATTGATAGAAGTCCGAAAAGTTTCGTTTACTCATTCCAAGTACATTTACCATCTAGTGAGCCTTCTTACTGGAGGGGGCAGAGGTATTCTCTTCCATCAGCTTTCAGTTCTGCCCCTATGGGCAGGAACAGATGGCCACATGACAAAGAGAGTAATAGAAGAATGGAGGCAAATATTTGGAACAAGAACAGATATTACGGTACGGGTTGTGATTAATAAACACATATAAACTATTTGACAAACTTACATAAAAATAGCAAAAGTGTAGCTTTAAAACTTTAGTGTGTTTATAAATCTTGCCGTTTTTTAACATGGAATCATCCTCTTATCAACAAGCTTCCTCTTTGACATTTAATTCGTCTGATGATTATTAACTCAAATCAAGTTTTGTTTTAAGAAACTTAATAAATACCTCCAAGTAGCATAATTTTAAATACATTAAAAATAAATCGAGTATTTGTCTATGTTTTGTGTACGGTGTATGAAGTATGGATGAGATTCAAATTCTGGTTTATAATATTTATAAAGAAAATGTCACCAATACCCGAACTTCCTAGATATTGGTCAGCATTAATAATTACTGGAAAACTTTAGTTACTGTGACCTAAAACATTCATTAGTTGTTTAATGACTGAAAATAACTAAATAGATCTCTTTTTGCGTGTCTTTTAAGATCAACTGTCTCGTTTCTAGATCTCTCTGATATTGAAGAACCTTATTTCAATGACATTCTCCCACTTTCAACATCTAACAAAGAAACTAAAATTACGGTAGAAGAACCTCAATTTCCGATTTTTCATAAGAAACAGAAAACTCAAACGCCCTCTGTGGATCCCGAAGAATTACAAGAGTTCTTTCAAGCAAGGAACATAATGAGAAAACCTGGGCGCGAACTTAGCAAAAGCATATTTGGAGAAAATACAAACGGGCAAGAGGACGAACAAATTTTAAACTCCATTTCTTCTGAAATCGAACGACGTAAAAATAAAGAAGGATCAATTGCGCACTATCTCGATGATTCCTTTCACAATGTAGATGACTCTAAGATTGACGAATATGATATCACCAAATTTAGTCTCAAAAATTCGCCGCCATACTTTGACGAGCCCAAAAGCTTAATTTTGAAAAAAAGAGAGTACACAAACTCCGACTCTGTTAAGGCTACAACAGCGAGTGAACTCAGCGACATATTCAAGGATGATGGTGATGAACGAAACATGATAAAAAGACGTACTGAATCATCAGAAGAAACAATATCTGAAAGGCAAAATGAGAAAAACGAAACAAATGAAGCAACTAACAGACACAATACAAATGTTTTGAACCATTTTGACGAAGTAACTACAGAAATAATAACTGAGGAACCACAAGAATCACACCCATCAACTCCTAAACAAAACTTTGAAACATGGTTGAAAAAGGAGTACATCAAGAACATGGCTAAAGCTCTCAACATCTTAAGGAAAAAAAGAAGCAACGATTGGGCATCAGTATTTTCTAAAAACATAGACGATCTCCTTCAACATGGTAGGAATGGCGTAAGCAATAGGAAAAAAGGACAAAAAACAAATATTATAGACCAAAGTCGCGAAGAAGATTACAAAAATATTGAAGAAAGTGTTAAAAAACAAAGATATGAAGAGGAAAAAGAAGATAATTTTGTTTCACAGAAACTGCAGTTTGAAGAAGCCGAGAAAAAGATAAAGCAAATTGAAAAGGCCATGATTGCAGTAGCAATGAAGATGATAAAAGAGAGCACCCCTGACGGCACTCTTTTTGATGAAGAAAAAATTTCTCATAGGTTAGAAGCTGCTAAAGAACTGAAAAATCTAAGACAAGCACTAGCTCACCTACATACAACCTTGGATAAAATTGAGCAGGAGAGTCAAGAAAGTGAGGACAACACTTCAAAAAATAATGAAGGGATAAAAGATGTAACATTAAGATGGCCACATTTTTTTGAAAAGAAAAGAGGTGAGAAAGAAAATGCAATTTTGTTTAAATTAAATGGCCAGGTAAAACAACTATATATATAATAAAGTATTTGCATTGAGCTTATAGGATAATATCCAATTTTCATTCTAATTTTGACAGCTTTCATTTTACATATAAAGAGTTAAGTACATGTTTTCGTATGTGTCTTTTTCTCGTCTGAATAGCTTTATACTAGTGCTTGATCTTAAGTCTAAGGTAAATTAAACCATTCCAAAAATATAGATTTTTTATAGCTAAATTTCAATGAAAATATTTCATTATAGACCATGTAGAATATTTAAAAAACTGTTTACAAATGTAGCTTTACTTGTAGTTGTGTTCTATCTAATAGCTGAACTTTGCACATTATAGTACAACACGCAAAATTACCCGTCCCCAGTGACTGGAAAAGTTTAAGTTAATCTATTAATTTAAATTATTTCATGGACTTTAAAAGGGTTAATTGTGTTGCACTCAGAGCCAAAGTTTGAGCTACTTATATCGCCCACCTTGAAAAGTAATTGTTGAGCATTTCAGTCATATTAAGAGCCGCTAAACAATAACATATGGTAAATCTACATTTTTATTCTTTAAGTTATGTCACATATTGAAATGTGAAAAATAGTATGATTAATTCCTAATAATTTAGTATAGAATATCCTGCTTGCGAAATAAAATTTGGCATCAGCATTATTCACACCTGTTCTCCCATCATTTCAAAATTGAATGTTGAGCTTTGTCTGCGTGTGAAGTTTTTAAACGCAGACGAACGCTCAGACAGACACTACGGTTCCCAATATATATAAGATGGAATGTGTATACTGTATTCCATAAACAGTCTGATTATTAGTGTAAGTTAACAATGTATTAATTTAATTACTACCAGTAATAAAAGATATATTAAATACTCAGAAGAAACTCTGTACACGCTGCAGTAGCGTAGTCATAGTAACATAAATGTTATCTATATTTTGGAGTTGGACTGGTTTAAATGCATGAGTTACCACAAAATAATTGTCGCACTGAAAGCTGTGAGTGTGTTATAACGGTAACAGTCAATCCCTTAGCATAGATGGTTGGTCGTAGAGTTTTGTTGACTGGCTACCTTTCCTTTATTCAGTAATTCAAAATTAGGGACAGCAGCGGATAGCTTTAATAGCGTTGCCATAAATATAAAAATACAAATACATATACAGAAATTGTATTCAAGTATAAAACAATTACTTTCCAGTTTTAGGTTTATTAGCTACGTGGCGCCTGTTTTCAAACTAATATTAGAATGACATGACGTTTTGTTTTAAAATATTAAGCAGTGAGTTTATATAGTAAAATAGGTCTGACTTGTAAAAGCGCTAGATACACATTATTGGATTGAGTTTATTTGAATAAATAAGACAAAATTATGTGTGTGGTTAAGAATCAAGCTTTAACGAAAATAACATTTAAATATGAACGACTATTTTTTTTCAGAGTTAGAAAAATATGGCGATGAAGATGGAGAGCACAAACTGTTCGAGGATCAACCTTCTTATGGAGTGAACCCTGATATGACAGCCAATGTTTACCATTACAGTAGAGGTCAACCCAGGCAACAAGAAGGTATATATATAAATATATGTATACATATTTATTACATATTAGTTGCTGAACCACACTGCCACTGTAGGTTTTGATACAACACGATTTAGCCAATGATCAGAAAGCATAATCGACTAAAACAATGTGAGAGATAGAATTAAAATTTGTATTTATACATAGCTTTACAAAAACGTGTTTGATTTAGTCCATGTGTATCCACTTGCAGGTTTGTGGTAAGTAAATTTTGATCGATTGAGAGAAACGTTTTTGATTTGAAATTAGTGCCAAAAACCGGATGTAAACTGACATATTTAGTACCACATGAACGAAAAAATATTATGACTAATTTGTGTGAAACTGGAAAGTTTGAAAAAAATAAACTTACCTACTAAAAGTAACTTTTTTACAGACATGGCATACTGACAATTAAGGATAAGGTGCTTCATATTTAAAAAAATAAACTTACCTACTAAAAGTAACTTTTTTACAGACATGGCATACTGACAATTAAGGATAAGGTGCTTTATATTTGAGGTTTAACGATATTGTGGTGATTGCCCTTAAAATACTATAAAAATAAATATCTAAACTCCAAGGATTAAACAAAAAAACAAACGATTACTAATTTTAATACAATCTATATTTATTTATAGAAAAGAAAGAACGGACATACTGTGATGAACGCTGCAGAGGTAATGAAGAGAGAGATAGAGAGAGATAGAGGCTTTAAGTAAAGAAACATTATTATGACGAAACAAGGTGGGAAACATACTACAGCGTCCATGATCATACAGATCATAATGTTTACAACACACACAGTGTACTGGAACAAGGGTACGTGACATTGTGTAAAAATAATCTAAGCAAGAAAAACAAAAGGATATATCCGAGCACAGAGAAGCAAGCATATACACTAAGTTTACGAGCATCATTCTCTCCTGAGCATTTCAGTTGATTGGACCATTAGAACCCAACTTTGATTTAATCAAAAAAGTTAGAAATGCTTAAGACGATCTTTTCAAATTTCTAGTGAGTATAAAATGTTCGCTTTGAAAATATGAAAACATCAAATGTTATCATCAAGATTTAAGCAAAGACACTTATAAGATTATAAGCATCAAAAGGAGACTGTTCTTGACAAGGACTCATATGTCCGCATCAAATGCTCATGGAAAATATATTGTTGTATTTCCTGCTTAGCTGTTCACCTTCTATTGACACCTCACATACACAACATAAAAAAGACCCTAACTGCACGAAAAGAAGGTCGATATGTATTTCCTGCTTAGATGTTCACCGTATACATATAACTTAAAGATAAGAAGGGATCTATTGGGTTATCTAGACCGCCCCATCCATTAAACTAAACCTATAAACAAAACAGGCCAACATTCGTGGGCGAATGCAACGTGTCTCCGCCATTCAATTCTATCATGACCAATTTGGATACCAGAAAAATCGAAAACTGTCTATATCACTACTTGAGACGTGTAAGAGGGTATCTTTGTATCAAATCCTATGTAATTTGGTTGATATACACATGAATAGTTCACGATACACCCAAATTGTGCTTTCTTCGCTGAAAAATTGTGCAAAGGACAAAAATCCCCAAAATAGTCTTGTTTCTCTGTTTGGGACCTGCTAATAGTTTTTGCTAATACTCGTTGTTATTTTTTGTAGTTATGCACAAAGCTACATAAAGGGCTATCTGTGCTCTGTCCACCACGGGTATCGAAAACCGGTTACTAGCGTTGTAAGTCTGCAGACATACCGCTGTGCCACTGGGGGCTTTGCACTGTCTTGGCCAAAACATTTGCATATTTTGTAACAAATAAGTTAGTTATTATTATGATGGAATACAATACACTTAGAGCTGTCAAACTGAGAAATGCACGTTATATTAAACATTTACATATGTAATTTGTACAATGAAACAGGTTCTATGGACATCCTTTATTAGATTTATTAGAACAGCAAACAATTTTATCAGCCGTAGAAAGATGTGGAATTCAGCATTTCACTTATCACAACAAAACCTTACAAAAACACATGTATAATGACAAAATGTAACATCAAATTATTATAAGTAGCGTCTCTGACCTTATACCTGTTCATATTAAACATTCAGTACTTGGTTGGTCCTCCTTATACTCTACTAACCTCCACAATGGGACGTGGTCTGCTGTCGATAAGGTTATTGATGTAATCCACCGTGATTTCATCCCAATTTGTCACCAGAAGGCGCAGCAACTCAGCTACAGTAGCTGGTTTAGGGTCGTGGTTAGTAATGTTCCGGCTCAGTTCTGCTCAACAGTTATCAATGGGTTACAATCTGGAGACTTTGCTGGCCATGGCAATCTTGTAACGCCCTGCTGGTCGAGATAATCCTGTACAATACGTGCAGTGTGGGCAGTGGCATTGCCATCTTGGGACACGAAGTTATTGCCAAACCTTTCCCTAGCATATTGCAGAGGCGCCATTGACGTTTCCCTAGATGATATGAAGAGAATTTTTCCACTGTAATGAATAGCTGCCCAAACACGTATTGTACCACCTCCTATGGGAAAGGCAGTCTCCCTGATCTGTTCTTCAGGCAAACAACGAAAAAGCACCATACCATCAGCTTTAAGAAGCTCCAAACAGGACTTTTCTGAAAATATGTCATGTTGCCAGTGTCATAACTGTAAGTTGACATACTGTCTTGCCCAAGTAACATGGTGACAGTAGTGAATTATGGCTAATATTCCATCTTGCAAAATAACCTTGTTTGGTCAGTCTCCTGTTCATTGTTCTTCTGATACTCTGGAATGAATGTGTTCATGTCATTCCTGTCGTAAGATATCGCATAACTTCTTTCGACCGTGACATGTTAACTTGATCAAAACACGGTCATCTTGGGCAGTATTTTTTCTCGGCGTGTACCTGTAGACTTTCCTGGAACAAGGTTTCCTGTAGTCCGATGATGTTTCAAGATTCTGTATACAGTACACTGGTGGCACTCACTGTACTGTTTTGGCAATGTCCATTTGCTTCGTATATTTCTGGACAGTCTAACTATTTGACACCCTGTAACTTCTGGCACGTGACGAGACATGACTCTACACCAAGTACAAAGAAATTGTCTGAACAAAGCCTTGATCTGTTTCAAAAAATATTATACCAAAAGCACACCCTTTTATACAAAACAGGTGTGTATGTATGTTTTAAGGAATAAATGCTCAAAACAGCTTATAAAGACCTAAATAACAACTCGTTTCTACTCAGTCATTTACTCAATTACTACACCATGCATGTAGACAATAACATCAATATAGAACATGATGCAAGCATTTTGGTTAAGACTGAAATGGACCTAGACCCCTAAAAGTATCCTTTTTGTAACATTTTGACCTGCTAAAATGACCAAAAATGAGCATATCCCATATATTTGTATTTATTTATATGAGATCTGTAGAAAAGTGTCTTTGCACCAAATCCCATGTAAATTGGTCAACATGTGGCCGAGTAATTGACAGAAATTCCAAAATTTTGTTCTTTTGTGAGTTCCGAATCCCCTAAAGTGACTCAAAATGGCCAAATCCAACTATTTTGTACATCAGTGTGTTGGGAACATAAAAATGTATATTTGTGCCAATTGTCATCTTGATTGCTGTAAATATGTTCGCACAGGAGCCAAAAATATATATTTATAAAGAATAAAGGACCTAACAATAAGCTCAGAGGTACCTCATTTGTGACATTGATCCAGTTTGATTGAACTCCATTAATAATAACCCTCTGCTTTTTTAATCCAGTCAGTTTTCTATCTAGTGAGCCAACCTATAATCAGGAATACTTTTTAACAAGTCTTTCATGTGGCACCTTGTCAGATACTTTATGAAAATCCTCACATATAGTAAGGCAAGATTTTCCCCTAGTGAAAAACCATACTGATTATCCAACAAAATTTTAAACTTTGTTAAATAACTTTGCATAGCGTCTTTTATTAAACTTTCAAAAAATTTTCCCATCACTGACGTAAGACTAACAGGTTTATAATTACTGGGATAATTTTTGTCACCTCTCTTGAAAAGGGGAGTAACATTAGTCAACGTCCAATCATCTGGCACCTGCCTACTATTTAAGAAAGTTGAAAAAATAGTAACCAGTGGCTCACATATCCAATCCTTAACCTCCTTCAAAACCCTTGGGAAAATATTATATGGCCCAGAAGCCTTATCATTCTTTAAACTTCTCAATTTTTTCTTAACGAGCTCAGAATTGATGTGATCAATTTGTTTGATTTTGTTTCAACCTTGCTAGTTCCGAAGGAGGAATATTACTTAAATCTTCATTAGTATAAATTGAAGAAAACGAATTTAATAACCTAGCCATCCCATAATCATCGAATATAATCCCTACAGTATCATCCCTCTTATAACATTTTGCTTACCCTTAATGTATTTAAAGAAATCCATAATACTAATTTTCATATTTTCTGCCAACCTTTTTAATATAGTTTTTCGATTTCATAATTTCTCGTTGACCAATTCTCTTCTCTTCTACAATTCTATAAATCTTCGATCATAGCATATGGGAGTAACGCACATACAACTCATAGGTAATGTTGGCTGTTGCATTTCATCCTTTGTTTATACCAGTCAATGTAAATTATATGTGACTAGAAGAGGAAACAGCATTAATATAACATTATAAAAATTAAATGTGTAAACGGGGTGCCATCACTGTGAGAGCTAACTTTCTCGGCAACGAGATAAGTGTTGCTGTGAACGCCCTCTTCTCAAAATACATACCGATATCGCTGTGAGCAGTTTGTTTCATGTCCAAAACAGAGCAGGTGTCGCTGTGAGCACATTACTTATCGGAAAATAGATACACCTTTTTGTGAATGCGTTACTTCTTATCAAACTTTGGACAGGTATCACTGTGAACATTTTGTTGCTTGTTATAAAGTGGAGAAATATCACGTGAACGTCTTTACGCGGAAACGGACAGCTAGCTATCTGATAGACGTAAATTTACCACAGACTGCCTGCATGCAATATATTGGCATCCTTCATTTTTAGATCATAACAAAAGTATTTGATTATTTGGCTTAGATTTATTTGATGTGCATGCTTCAAGACAATTAGACTAATGTATAATAATAGTATTCCAACCACACCATATTCAGTTCCGTATATTCATTGCCGACGACGCGTTTCGCTTAATCCAGAGCTCATCAAGCCGACTGGGACACAAAAAACGCTAGTAGTCAGAACACTATTTATATAAGCCATTTATTACAACAACAAATGTTATGGTATGAACGCCTTTTCCGAGTTGAAGAAGCATGATTATAATAATATATATTTGTCATAGAATATTACTTTAGGCCTATCATATTTTTTAGCATTGTACTTTTTATCTAGTCCTGTAGGGATTTTCAAGTATTACTATATACTCGTCTAATTCTTGAAAATTCCTAAGAGATTACATGAAGAATGTTGTGTTAAAAAATATAGTATTAATATTGTTACGTCTCCGTTTGTTAATTAACTTTCAGTAACTTCGTTCCGACGAAACTTCAGCGACACAAGTCTTTACTTAATAAAACTGGTTTATTCTTTCCGAATATAACTCTGCGATACACTTAATCTCAATACTTGCGCTAAAACAACACTGTAACGAACGAAGGTTAACTTCAACAATACCCTGTGACTGCAGTTCAATTACTCACTATCTACCCAGACATTACATTCCCCTCTTTTATATACCAGCCTACCCTATATCTAGTAAGAACTAGAACATTCGCCAAAGTACATGATAGTTCTAGAAACGTTGCGTCACAGTAGTCATGTGACTCGATGACGCAACAATATAATAAACCTAATACTAACATCTTCTGACGAGCATAATTAAGTATAATAATCTTCGTACACTTGTAAAAGGCGTTCATACCATAATATTCGTATATATTTAAGTAGTATTCAGTTTTAAGAAGTGTAATTATTTTATGTAAATTATGCTTTACATTTCATTCCAAGATGACTACTGTCCACCTTTGAAACTGCTGACAAGCGACTGCGCAGCTGTAGACGAGTATTTGCCTAACGAATCATTACGTCGATTGCTTCGTCATGCCTGCAATTGGCATGATGTCTGTTACACGTGCGTAAGTAATATTATTTTACTAATCTTATTTCTGTTACATCTGGAATTAGTTGTCCATAAAATTAGAAATTAAGCAACTAAAAAGTGGGGGAAAAAGACCACTCTTTGAATAGTTGAGTAATAATCTGAAGATCATTTTTTGATTCCATAAATCTATATTATTAGCTCCACCTACACACCATTTCTAATACAGTTTACTAATGTTATAAAATTATAACTATCGGTGACATGGTACACTTTTAGTTATTCAAAAACAAAATACACTTATTTTAATGTATACTTGGATAGCAAACAAATGATGTATTCTAATATACAATAAAAGATCCGTTTAATATAGACATGATACCAATACTGTTGTTGTAACTTCAGTTTTACTTTAATACAAACATTTTAACAAATTAATATTTTTGAAAAGCTAATTAAACTTGCTTATTGTTTGAAATTAATCAAAGTACCAGTTTTAGAATATTCAGCATTTGAACACTCAACAGTTAAATTTAGTATGATTTTCAAATGCGCAAGAATAATAATTATTTTCCATTTGTATATTATTTCTAACAAGTTGGTTACACATGTTAAAATTGTTCTCATTACATGGAACCACACAGGGAAAACTATCTAACCCATATAAAAAAGCCAATGTATGTCACATCACGTTACGCTTGATTTCTCGAAATAGGAGGAGTCATAAAAACAAAAATGCATTTATTCAGATAGAATAGTTCGATTACTGTCTGCTCATTACGATTTTAGTGAGGGTGTGTGTGAAACCTTATAAGTGTAGTGAGTGTTGGTATAATAAGCCTAAAGTAAAGACGTGGTGTGGGATCACCTAGCCTAGAGCCAAATACATAAAATTTATCATGAACGTAAAAATATCAATTCAATTTTAAACTTAAATCGTTTTTGAATTAAGCTATTTTCAGTACATAGACTAAAAACAATATTAGGTTATACTTTTGTTGCTAAGCAACATGACATAAAAGCCATTGTTGGCTAACCAGTGTTAGCAAAACGCACTGGCTTTTCTCTGTATTAGAAGTTGTTAATCTAACTGATATTTACCAATAATTATTCTATGAATACTACACGAATTCATTTCATGAATGATCTTCATTTTGATTGGCTCAAAAAGGAACTTACCGACGTTTGACTGCCCCGACTGCACTTTTCTGCCTCTTTGTTGGTCAAGCGTGATTTTGCAAAATATATTTAGTTCAGTTAGCTATGATATGTGAGTTTATGGAATACTTTGGGTTGGGGTGGAGGTGGTAGTACTTGCCCCGTCATTTTTGACGGGCTATACACTAGTAATGACATATACATTTACTCCAATTGAACAAAAAGTCTTATTTTGAAGTTAGACTCTATTCGAAATGTTCTAATGAAATGTTAACAACAGGTTTCGTGACCCGTCATTACACAGATATATCTGGGAAATTACCAAGTTAAAAGATATTAAAAGAAAACATAGAAATAAAAGTATAAGTAACAACAGCTGCTTTTATTGTTGCCTATAATTGTAAATTTATGTTTTTATGTTTATCTGTATATTAGTTACTTGCATACTTTATATTTGCTTTATTTAGATAAATTTTAGCTTTATTCTTTCACACATATGTCTGATACACTTACGTCATGTTAACGGTCGCTAATAGTTTATTAATACACTTAAAATAAAGTTCAGTTCATACAATAACCATTTTTATTTCGTTTATAATATACTCTTCGTTACTGTGCCTTCGAACTCATTGTTTTTGATATGTACTGTAAACTTACATATTCATATTGTTACGTCTCCGTTTGTTAATTAATTTTCCGTAACTTCGTTCCGAGGAAACTTTAGCGACACAAGTCCTTACTTAATAAAACTGGTTTATTCTTTCCGAAT